TTACTAATAAGCAACTTCCTTTTCCATTGTGCAGGCAATAGCTCATCAATGCCTGAGCAGTAGCCTTTTATCTTTAGGAACTGACCAAATGAACCACTGGGTGACAGAGATCCCTGCCTTATGTATTTCCCTCTTTATTCTGCAGCATTCCAAGGACAAGTACAGTGTTCAGTCTGCCCCATGGGACCTCCCTACTGAGAACACATAAAGTCTTTTAATAATGAATAATAAAGAATAATAGATAAAACCCAGTAAACTTTTTAATTAAGCATTTCAGCAATTGCTTTAAAAATCTGTGCCCTAAGGGGCAGTGAGAGTGTCTTCTGCATATATTGTGAAATATGTAGTAGGCTGTTTATTGATTTTAAATGAATATTCAATTAATGAAGAGTTAACTATGATGCTCTGATGAGTCTGAAGATTATAATTTTAATCCCCCCCCCAAATTTCAAGCACTCAGAAGCCAAATTTCTTTTAAAGAAAATTCACAATGAAATAGGTTTTTAGTGTACACACCACTTATCTTAGCACATCCTAGATTCAACATTCACAGGGATTGAGAATTTTTTTTAAGGAGGTAACATTGGTTTACAATTTTGCATATGATTGAGGGAAATAAGTTCACATCACTCAGATCTATGTTGTTACACCTCTTCACCAAAAAACCTGCACCATAGACCATTGGACCCCCCTCCTCCCTTATATCTCCATCCCTACCCTCCCTTCTAGTCACAGGAAGGTATCTTCGGTTATAGGTGAAAATAAAGTCAGCTAAGACCAATGCATTTCAGCATCAACTAAAACAGTGTGCCTTTAATCTCTTTCTTATAAAAAATATTTCTTATATAACTAAAAATATATTTCATTGCAAACTCCAGTAAATTGAAGGAGGAGGAGTTAGGGGCTTATGTGTAACTCAGGGAAAGATGGGAGAAGGAACTGTGGAGCTGTCTTTGGATAATCTTCTATTTATTTAACTTTCCTCATTTGCTTCTCTTCCCATTGTCTTTTTTTGATTCCTAAATCATTCCTTATGACAACCTGCCTGCCCCAACAGTAGAGAAGACAGGTATCATCTACAATTTCTTCCTAAAATATTAATGATACTTTGTTATACAATAAATATTCTTTAAGTTTACTATTTTTTCCCCATTTTGCTAGCAAAATTTCCTGTGATGATGCAAATTTAGGGAAACTGCCTTTAAGCATCAGGACCCTAAGTGTGCTCCCTACTGGGCTGATTACTTTAAGCTAATGTGGTGTTCCATTCACTGGATTCCACACACTTTCCCTATATTGATTGCATTATCAGTAGTAGTAATCACAGATATCATTACCAGGCAATTACACAAACACATATCTAAACTAGGTAACTTATTCACCAACATTATCTCTTACAAGCTTTAATTTTGTAATGAAGCTGATAATCCTCTTGTCCAATTGAGTGTAGCTACATATTTTGATCTAGTAGGTTAAATGCAAGTATATTAAATTATGTAGTACGTAATTACTTACATATGTTTGTAACAACGCAAAATGAGAGTAATTTGTGTGTAATCTGTTTCTTGTTCTATTTGAGGATTGCATTAGAGAAGGTTAACTGCTTTCAAAAAATAGTCTCAACATGTATTTGGATCAAACACAATAGAAGTGGATTTCATGCTCATATAATGGAACTCAATATGAGAACTATACTTAAACACACAATTACCCAGAGACCCAGGTGGTTTCTATTACACTCAGCATAAGAGTTTCAAGGTCACCATAGAAGACTCATTTCAGGGAAAAGAATATGGACGAGCTAATGAGAGATGTCTGTGGACTAACCCTGACTGTGAAGAGCATTCATATTATGTTGGTTAGACCTTAATCACATGGCCATATACCAAAGACATAAGAATTATGGTCATAGGCCTCCCCGGTGGCACAGCGGTTGAGCACTGGCTTGTGAAGCTGCCCACAGCCTCTGCAGCACCAGTTTGATCCCCAGCCACTGGCAAGAGTCCCACATGGCACACAGCCCTCACCTGCCATGCCCGCTGCTCCCCTCAGTAGTGTACTTCATCAGTCTGCCTGTTCTGCTCCCTGCTCTGGCTCTGGTGAATTCTCTCACCCGTGCTTGTATAAATAAATAAATCTTTAAAAAAAAAAGAATTATGGTCTTTCCTGGAAATAGAGAAGAGTTTGGATTTTGTGGAGCAGTTCGTGATTTATGCCTTAAGGACTCAAACAGAACTTGTTCCGTTTCTCTATTCAGTGAATGCTTTTCCTGACTTGCCTTTTCATTATTTGGAATTTCTATCAGGTTTGCTTTTATTTGCTTTACACTAGGATCTAAATCCTGCCTCTTAGACTTGTACATGTTAAATAACTGAAGAATGAGGATATGAAATCACAAAGTACCTTTTCAAAATTTTATACAAATTATGCCCATATTATAATTTTTCAGCGGGTTAAAATTTTAGATAGGTTCAAATTAAAGCTTTTTAAATATAGAAAAGATAACTACTAATTTAACCTTCCTATTTCATAGATAAGGAATCTGTGAGTATCAGAGAGACTGGGTTTATTTGTCTTAATTGTATAGGGAGCATAAATGATTCCAGACTTTAGTCCCAGCCTCCTTCTCAAGTTGAAGTCTTTCTATAACTTGTGTCACCTTTTTTTAATCTGTAATCTTATTATTTACCAAGCTTGCTAGTTATTGTAGAGGTGAAATAAAACACTAAATTGTAACTGACATAAGCTAGTATGCTTAAATCTGTGAGAACATAAACTTAAACAACTTTGCAGATTTTCCATATCTATTTCAAGATTTATTATAAGTTAGCTACTTACTAAATTTTCTTTTAGTACATTAATTTTTCAACAAAGATATGCCTTCTAGAAAAATCTTGGACTATATATTTATATAATCAGTGATATGTGGATTATATTAGCAGAGACAAATTTATACTATCACATTAATTAACGTTATCTAGTATTAAAAATTTGGGAAAAACACATAACAAAGTCTGAAAAATTATAAGCTACTTTTAGAATGAAAATCAGTCCAGAATGGTTTTTATTATGAACATTGTAAATACAATTGCAATATTCACCTATGAATTTGTTTTACCATCTTGAGCAAACTTATTTTCACTTATTTTAAGTGAATATGAAAGATTTTACTTCTTCCCTGTCCAATACCCTTCCCTTGGTAGGGTACTTCTCTACCAAACACAATAAAGAAAGCCATCTCACTTGTTTTTTTAAAAAAGATTTATTTAAGCACACAAGAGCTGGGGTACAGGCCAGAGATGCGGGGGGCGGGGCGGGGGGCGCTGAGAGGATTCACCAGTGACAGAGTGGGGAGCAGAACAGGTGGATTGACTGAAATACACTGCTGAGGGGAGCAGTGGGTGAGACACGAGAGGTCTGCTGCGCCTTGTGGGTATTTCCCTGGCCAGCCAGGGATCGAAATCATGCTGTAGAGATTGTGGACAGCTTCAAAGAGCAGTGCTTAACCCCTTGCGCCACCAGGGAGATCCCCATCTAACTTCTTGATGCTACTAAAGAACACTAATGTGAATGTGTAGAACAGAGGTAACTGGAATTTGGTTGTTTTCATACTTATCTGTTCCCTGCATTAAAAGTCATCACTAAGTTGAATTATTAATTCAAAAAAAATCTAGTAAGATCCACATTGTCACTTTATATATATGTATAAAAACATATACATATATATGTAAAATCGAGGCTAGTAGCACTGTTTTAAATAAGGTAGCATTGACTTATATGTTTTGGATGTATAGATTATAATTTAACATTTGTGTATGCTACATTATGATCACAAAAAGCCTAGCTTCATATTCTACCTTATAAACTTTTTCACAATTTTAATACCCTCTTTATTTTTTAATTTTTTTTAAGATTTATTTATTTACTTATATAAGCACTGGGTACAGACAGAGGCGGGGGAGGATGAGAGAATTCACCAGAGTGGGGAGCAGAGCAGGCAGAGTGATGAAGTACACTGCTGAGGGGAGCAGTGGGCGGCAGGAGAGGTCTGCGCGCTATGTGGGACCCTCGACTGGCAGCCGGGGATCGAACTGGTGCTGCAGAGGCTGTGGGCAGCTTCGCAACCCAGCGCTCAACCGCTGTGCCACTAGGGAGGCCCAATACCCTCTTTAATGTACTATGGGTAATCACTTATTTTGCAAGGATTTTATATGAAGTCTACTGGAGACTAGAGATATACACTTCCTTTTTGGAGTCCTCTTGTGAATATAGCCTCTTTAAATATGGGCAACATGTATTCAGTTTATTTTAAAAAACTATATATTGATATTTTCCTAAGAATCTGATATTGGTTCTCAAGGTGCCATGTATCTATTTTGAAAAGAAAATAATAAATGGGAAGGGCCTATTAGCATTTTTGTAATATTGACTATTTTAATCTAACTCTGATTTTTAAGTATAATGGAAAGGAATTTTTAAAATTTAAAACAAGTGGGTTTGAAATGTGCTTATATTGTAAAGTAATATAGATACAGCCAAAACTGTAAGTTGCCTGACTTTAATTGGATCATCCTTTTGAAAATGATATATATTCAATATCATCACAAATAACTACATGAAAAATACAGAGAATGCCTTGAGAAACTGAAAATTCGCTTCAGTAATAATTATTTTCAATTAGTTGTGACCTCTGAAGAGTTTCTTTGCAGGAAAATACCTAGAGTTGAATTTATTCAAATTCCACAATTCTTGTTAAAAATATGCTTTCTAATATTTTGGTGTTCATGTAAATTTTTGACATCAACTCTGTATATATTAAGGAACATTGACATCCTAAGTGGGACTATATTTAAAAGGTGTTTTATTTCTATAGCACAGAGTATACTTTATACTTGATGAATCTTGCTTTCTGCCTTTTATTTGCATAAGTAAAATCTTCATTTTTGCTCATCATGTATCTTTTCTGCATATAATTAACATTAACTTTTTTGACTGTGCAGAGCTGGCTATTTGCCTCAGAATATTCCCCTGGAGATTATCAGATACCTGTCTGAGGAGAAGGATTTTCTTCCTTGGCATGCTGCCAGCCGAGCCCTTTATCCTCTAGATAAATTACTGGACCGCATGGAGAAATACAATGTCTTCAATGTAAAAAAAATATTTTTTCTTCTTTCTTATTTCCAGAAGATAAACTATTTTCTCATTATAATCTGTATTCAACTGATTCTGAGTTCATTTAGTTCTTTCTTCTTATTTGTGTTATCATTTTTGTCCTGATTTTCTATGTAACTCTGGTGACAATTACTTGAAGAAAAATTTAATACAAACTACTTTTTGTTCTGGCCTAAAAGTGTCAATTAAGCTTAAATGCTTCAAAATTTAAGAACAAATATATGTGGCAAATCCTTAAAGTTCAAACTTACTTTCTAAGAGTTAAAGGGCTCTCTGTTCACAAAGGACTTACCCTGGGTAGAGCGATCCTAAAGATCTTAACAGAATATGGATGGTTTCAGTAAAGATTCTGAATCATTATTTTTATCCAAAAGGGCATAGTGAATTCAATTCACTTCCTTAATTAACAAGGATAAGATCAACATTGAGGCGAAAGCCCATTCATAATTGGGTCCAAGGGGATACAGGAGAGCAAACAATACATAATCCAAATAGACAGGAACACATGACAAACATTCCAAAATGTTACCTGACCAGATTTCCTAAGCTTGACACCTGGTGAACCAGAATTGCTGCGCTGATCTAATGTAATAATTATTTTGAATTAGATTAGGATTTAGTACCACTAATGACCTTTCATTCCTAAATTTCTTCTCACCAGTGAAGCTTTGCATATGAGAATATTGCCTTTGAGCACTTTCATTTTCCTTTACTTATACTTACAGTCTATCCTGTGTCTTATAAAATCGTCCTATTTCTTTTGATTGATTGGCTCTGCTGATTAACCTACACATTTGGAATTACTTGGCCCTAGATCGCCTGGACATGAGATGTTTACTAGAGTCATCCAAATTGTCTGGTGGTCATTAGAATTACTTCTTTTTGTCTAATCCTCATCACTTTCCTAGGCACATAATAACACCTATTATAATATTTTTTAAATTTGAAATAATCTTGACTTGACTGTTATCATTGTCAGTTTTATCTAAGCCCTTGTAATAGACACACAAAGAAATGTGTCATTACATTTATTGTAACATTTTTATCTGCTAGAGAAAGTCATATTACACTTTTCTCCTTAACAGACATAATATTAAACTTTTGTAAATGTAAAATATATTTTTGCATATATATTTGTACTTCAGAATAGTGTATCATGTCAGACATCTCAATTTCAATAAAAATTAAGAATTGCTTTTACTATAATTTCAACACTTTCATTCCTTTGACAAAATTCAAGAACCACATTAAACTGAGAAGAGCATATCTTATATTGCTACAAAAATTTAAATATATCATTAGCTGAATGGATTGTTGACTTTGAAATACTATATCATCATTTTGAAGAGGGCTCTGAGTATGTCAGGTTCAATAATGCCAGGCTATTGGCTGGGCCTACATAACAATTTTGCCTTAAATATGCTCTATTGAAATAAGACATATAAACACTAATAGTGTGTTCATTTTCACAGACTATATCCACATACATTTGTATATTTGTATGCATGGGTGATATCAATACCTTTCAGTTTTTTCATTTCACTACAAAAATTGTCATGTAAAATATTTAATAGTAAAAATTACTTAATTGTTCAATAAGAAATAGAGTAGATTCCATCACTGCAATTGTATCTTATCCTTATTTTCTATATTTAAAAAAATTAAGTTGCATAAAATTATGATGGAACATCACTGATGCCCAATTAATACTTTAAGAGATATGTATATATGTAGAGAGACAAAATATTTTCATTTTATTGTATTGTAAGCATGGAGTGGCTTGAACCTGATATTACCTTTATTTCTCCCATCTCCCATTTAGGAATATATCTTAAAGCAAGTTGCAACAACCTACATCAAGCTTGGATGGCCAAAAAACAATTTTAATGGATCTCTTATTCAAGCATCTTACCAACATGAGTACTGTTTCATTTTCTTTTTTGCTTCCCCCCTTCCAGAGCTGTACAGTAACATACCACTAGTACCACTGTGACTTCAGCAGCATAGGACAATCTTTCTTTCATTCTGCATCTTTCATTTCTCTTTCCTGGGAGTACTTCTGTGGGGTAGCACAGTACCCACCACCTGGTACTGAGAACAAAGGCATTTCCTTGCCATGTTTTAATTTAAGGCCTGCTTTTCTTGGTAAAGTAGAGATCTGAACCCCTACCTCTTACTGTGTGTAGCGTTGTTTCCAGAGAAGACTCTGGGTATGCTTTACTTCTACCCTGCCTAATTGTCACTTACTCAGCAAAATAGGATTTTTGGTTCAAAACACCATTTTTGTGCTAGTTATTTACTAAACTACTATTTAGGTGAGGAGGAGTTACCCTTTCCAGATATTAACACTGCTTTTTATTTCTGATTTTTTTTTCCCTTTTAATAATACCTAGAGAACTTCGCAGAGAAGTTATAATGCTGGCATGCAGTTTTGGTAACAAGCACTGTCACCAGCAGGCATCAACACTTATTTCAGATTGGATTTCCAGCAACAGAAACAGGTAAGTTGAACCAGTTCCTGTATTTCTGATATCATTTAATATTATTTTAAGATTCTCAGCAGATGCATTACATTACATCAACTGAAGAAAAGCAAGAGTAAAACACTGAAAAACATTGTTTCAGGTTCACAATCTTCAAGACAACAGCATGAAATCCAAAATACACTTATCTTTGCAATGTTTTATCCAGTTTTAAACTTTTAAAATCAGGATACTTATTTTTCATATATAATTTATTGGCTTATTTTAATTTTGATAGCTTTGCTATCTCATGAGACCAGTCATTAAACTTAGGTCAAACATTAAGTTCTTTATAAAGGTTGTGGTATTTATTCATAAAGCAACTGCCATCGCATGATATAAATAAAGTAGCATATAAATGTTGATTTTAAAGATGAAAATCAAAAGGGTTATGAAAAATATCTTTACTCCTTCAGTGACCCTTGACAGAAATCTTAAACTTGTATCTTATCTTGGAATTTCACAATACTGTATTTGAATGCAGACTATAGGTTAAAATTATTTAATATAATTACTTGTGATAAGAAATATACTAAATGTCACTTAAAATGTTTATGAAAGGAATATTAAACGTAAAAGTAAATCAAAGATCAGTGATCTTACTACTATTGTTTTTAAAATATTCTCAGGTGTCTTTATATTTCCAAAAACAACTTTATGTTCAATTTCATTTGACATTTTAGGCAACTTCTAAACATTTCCAGTCCTTGGCCACTGTATTAAGGAGAGAGGGATCAGGGGAGAAGCTGAGAGCAATTTCTGCAGATGATTCTATTTTCTGTGACACAGTGGGCTTGTCCTGTGACTTACTGGGATGACCACTTGGGAACAGAAAAAAGGACTTGCTGTTGATGAACGGAAAACCACCAAGAGTATAACCTACTTAAGGAATAAATTGGCATATGCCTTGCCAGGAATTATTTAGATTTAAATTTATTATCTTACTGACTCTAGCCCAAAGGGTGGTGATCCTGCTTTGAAATTCTCTGAGGTAATTTTTCACTATATTACTTAATAATTTGTCTCACCTTCTCTAGCATTTTCCTGTTTGCCCTTTAAGTTAATAGTTTCTGGCCTTATACTGAACTAAGGAAAGTATTTTATCACTATCATCTCTCAATTGATCCATTATATACTTGAAAACTGTGATTAGACCTGTTATCAGTCTTCTTTAGAACTAAACAATCCTCATTTTTAAAACTTTTGCTAATAACTTTTTTTGTTAAGTCTTCTGAAAGCTATTAAAATAATTTGACTTGAAAATGATAAATATTTTTTCTCTTGCTTTTTACTACCTTCTTCAATTCTAATACATATCTTTAGGCTATCAAAACAAACATTTATCCAAATCAATACAAGTTTTTTGAAAAGATCTACTATATATATATATATATATATATATATATATGAGAAGATATCTTCTCATATATATATATATGAGAAGAAAAGTAAAACACATTAGATTGTTATCTCTAATTCGGTCTCCTTTTGCTTGATATTTTTGTTTGTTTTATTTTGCTACAGATACATGTCCTTTCTCAGTTAATGCTTATTTTTAAACTTTAGTGAATTTACCCATGTTAAACTTTTCTTACCATTTTATTAAAATTGGACTTATAACATTGACTTTCCATAATTTCTCCAGAGAGAACTCAAGCCAATATAATTTCCTACATATAAAAATATAGCAATTGGGAAAATTGGTATTTTTGAATAATCCATTTATGTTAACAAAATTGTATATTTGGGTAGCTAAAAAGCAGAGGTGGAATTCAAAATTAATAGACAGTACTGCTCTGTAAATGTATATGTGTACTGTGGGTAGCACTAAGCATACATATGGTGTGAATACAAACCAGGAAGGGGTTACCTTCAAAGAATAACATTCTGCATCATGAATGATGTGTTGGACTCTGTTAGATGGACAGGAGGCAGGGGTAGGTGTGTATGAATAGATAAGGTGGGTTTTCAAGGCAATCCAACATGGATTGATGTTTGGTAGATGAACAGGAGGAAGGGATAGGTGTGTATGAATAGATAAGGTGGGTTTTCCAGGCGATCCAACATGGATTGATGTTTAGTTTAATAAGTGTAGTAATTTTTGACATGTGAATTTGAAACAACCCATCACTTCCATAATTCCTTCATAAATGAAAACTCATATATAAGGCATCAGCTTATTTGGGTTTTGATAACTGGAATTTATTTGTGACAAGATAATTAAATTTGGGCCTAGTTACATTAAGGTTCTTTTGAGATTTTCTTCATTTTTATATTCTCCTGTTTTGCTTTGTTTTGTAACTGACCAACCAAACAAGCTAAGTGAAAGTAACTGTTTACTTAAATTTGTTCAACCAACCACATGCCATGGCCCTGGCAGCATACTTTAAGTGACCTCCTATAGTGAAGGTACATGACACCCACTGAGTTACCTATTTGTGAAGATCAGAGGTTTAATCTGTCTTTTTTGAATGATAGCTTAAAAATGAAACAATAATGCACACCTATAGTTGCTGCTGAATTTAACTTTTAAATTGAGTCAATGAAGGAAGTACAACGTTGCTTTATAGCTTTTCTAAAAGCAACAGATCAAAAAAAAAATAAAAGCAACAGATCAATCTACTTTGTTTGCTTAACTGGAAACAAACTTTTTTATTGAACTGGAATCTTAAAAATCATCTTAAAAAACCAAACTAGGGCCTCCCCTGGTGGCACAGTGGTTGAGCACTGGGCTACAAAGCGGGCTGCAAAGCTGCCCGCAACCTCTGCAGCGCCGGTTCAATTCCCGGCCTCTGGCGAGGGTCCCACATGGCACAACAGACCTCTCCTGCCATGCCCACTGCTCCCCTCAGCAGTGTATTTTGTTGTTTTGCCTGTTCTGTTCCCTGCTCTTGCTCTGGCGAATTATCTCACTCTCCCGCACGTCTGACTGTATCCAGTGCTTGTATAGATAAAAAATAAAATTAAATAAAAAAAAAACAAACTAAAGTCAATATAGTAGTATACTTATGTTTTGGAACATGTAGATTTATAGTAATAAATCTAAATGACAATAAATCATGTAGTAGGGATTACAAATATTTGGGGTGATTGATAAATTAGGGTCAAATCAGTGACACTGGATTTAGGAAAAGGGCATGGATGTGAAAGTTGGTACAGGGCAGGTTAATGGAACCAAAAAGTGCAATGAAAAGTTAGAGATGGCAGCAACAGAGAGAAAAATTCAAGCACTATAGTCGATGATAAATTGGATGAGTCGACATTCTTATCTCTGTTAAAATATTCAAATGCTACAGTGTGATGAATTGTAATGGTGATGTCATGCATAAAAATGAATTGAGTTACATTCAGGTCTTGTTAGGCTGGGATTTAGGGACAAATTTCAGCAGTATGCCACATTTCAGAAAAGAGACAAGTTACTGAGCATTTTGTAGAGAACAATACAAATGATAAAAAGATCTTGAAAACATGAGCTATGAGAGGAGGTTGTGAAACCTGAAAATTTTACTCTCAAAAAAGACAGAAAAGAGAGTGATTTTGTGTTATAGAAAGCATTATAAAACAGACAGAAATTGGTTATTTTGCTGGTTGGTGCCAATAAACAAGAAATAATTGACTTAAACTACATTGAATAAAATATAAGGAATATATTAATACTGCATGTGAATTATTTGAAAATCTCTGTATTAAAACACTATGGAGATTATATAGTTAATTATATAGAGATCACAGTATGGCAATAGGGTGTTTTCTTTGAATAAAAAAATTAACCTGAAATTACATGTATGTCTACAATAACCCATTTTCTTAATTTTGTGATAATGTATTATTTTGCAAATAATGTTAAAAGATTCAATTTTAAGCATTAACCCAAATTGAGTGAAGATTTAAAATAGTTTAAGTTTTCAATAGATATACCTCCCTAACATATACACTGATAACTGATTTCATCACTCTAAAAAACACCCTGAAACAACAGACTATATTGAGAATTATAGGAAATCAAAAGTGCTTACTGAATTGGAATGAATTGGGAATTAATTTCAAACATGGAAAAATTAAGGTCATTCCATAATAAAATCTATAAGTAGAAGAGCATCTCTGGAGCTTTGCAGCCTACATGATACATAAACTTCCTTATTCATGCAATTAATTATAATGTTACTAATATTAGTGGCATAAGTGATGATAATAATGAAAATTATATTTGCTTTAAGGAATATTTGCTGTTTCAGGCATAAGGCTAAGTGCTTTTTGTCCATGAGCTCATCATTTTTTTATTTTTATTTTTATAGGAGACAGATCTAAAACTCACAAAGATTATGTGATTTGCCAAGATTCTTTAACAACAGATCATGGATCTAGGTGTCCACTTCCAACTGATCAGTCTGTCTTCTAACTCATGAAATAATCATGTGTCAGTAATATATGTTTGTATAAAGTGGTAAAAACAAAACAGACACTCAACAAGACTCAAGCACTCTCTATATTAAGTCTAAGTAGCAGTTTTTTGAAGGCGATATGGCATGAGCCTGTGGTTTTTAAATCTGATCATGAAGAAAAGTTACTGGGGGGACTTGTTTAAAAGCTTGTGGGCTCCACCCCACTCTCCCAGAGTTCAGATTTAGTAGTTATCACGGTGCCCACAAATTTGCATTTTGAGCAATTTCCCAGCTGATACTGATCTGATGTTTACTGTTCCAGGGAACACACTTTGAGAACCGCTAGTATACTGACTTCAGAGTCAGGGACACCAGCACTCAAACTGCAGCTGGTCCACCAAATGATCTTAAAAAAGTAATTTTATTCATCATCTGAAAAATGGCAATAATGTTACCAACCAAAAAAATAATGGGAGTTTTAAAAGGGAATGCCTATATAGTATTTGACCCTCAGAAGAAATCATAAAACATTAATTATCTCTGGATTATTACTTGTTTAGACCACCATGTAATAGGTGTTGTGAATTTTAAAAGTTT